GTCTTAAGACATCAATTCTATCATTTCTCAATCTGGGAGTCAGGATCCCTGAAAGGGGGGGGGGATGGGAATTGCCAGGGGGTGTCAGAAAGGTTGCCAAAGACCACTAGAAAAACAGTATTTTCTGTTGGTCATGGGGTTTCTGTGTGGGAAGTTTGACCCAATTCTATTGTTGGTGGGGTTCAGAATGCTCTTTGATTGTAGGTGAACTATAAATCCCAGTAACGACAACTTCCAAATGTCAAGGTCTATTTCCCCCAAACCCCATCTGTGTTCATATTTGGGCATATGGAGTATTTGTACTAAGTTTGGTCTAGATCTTTCATTGTTTGAGTCCACAGTGCTCTCTGGATATAGGTGAACTACAACTCCAAAACTCAAGATCAATGCTCACCAAATCCTTCTAGTGTTTTCTGTTGGTCATGTGAGTCTTGTGTGCCAAGTTTGGTTCAATTCCATCATTGGCGGAGTTCAGAAAGCTCTTCAATAGTAGGTGAACTATAAATTCCAGTAACTACAACTCCCAAATGACAAAATCTATTTTTTGAGTGATGGTCACTCCTTGGGTTAGTAGGTGTCTTGTGGCCAAATTTGGCAGTAATTTGTCAAGCGGATTTTAAGTTATGATGTCACTCAAAACGAACAGAACACACACATATTTATTTATTTACTGTATTTATACTCTACCCTTCTCTCCCTGAAGGAGACTTAGAGTGGTCTTACGATAGGCAACAATTCAATGCCTTATCAAATAAACAGTAATAAAATAAACATATAACCTGTTTTCCGCAAAATAAGACATACCCATAAAATAAGCTGTAGTAGGATTTCTAAGCATTTGCACAATATAAGCCATAACCCATAAGACATAGTGATAGGTGTGGCTATGCAGCGTAGGTGAAGAACAGAAGGAGATATTGAAAGTAAAAGTGAGGTGCAGGACAGTCTACTTTAGGTATTGTGTGTCCTCAGGGGGGAGAAGTAAAGCTGCAGCTGCAGTTTTACTCAGCACTGTGGGCCTCTCTCCCAGAGCAGCAACCAGCAACGGTCTGTGGATCTCTCTCACCTCCCCCCCCCACAAACACCAGTAAAGTTGCTGCTCCCCAGCACTGAGCAGCAACAGTCTATGAGTCTCTCACCCCACACAAACACCAGGGGATAGGGGAAAAACTTCAGCAAGTAGTCTGCTACTGAGCCCAGAGAGATCATCCCATAAATGCAGATTGTTGTACCTTACTTAAATAAAAGTAAGACATCCCCTGAAAATAAGCCATAGTGTGTCTTCTGGAGGAAAAATAAATATAAAACGGTGTCTTACTTTCAAAGAAACATGGTACATTAGAAGCCTAAAAATTAATAAAGCATAAAAACAATTATTAAACCCCACAGTCCAAAAACATAATCAAGGCCGTTCCAGTCATGATTGCACATATTGCATCTTATCTTATTGCACTGTGCTTCTCCCCAAATGCTTGGTACAAGAGCTGTCTTCCATTTCTTTCTGAAGTCAGGAGGGAAAGGGCTAAACTGATTTTTACTGGGGGGGGGGGGAGTTCCATAGCGAAGGGGCTGCCACTGAGAAGGCGCTGTCTCTCGGTCCCACCAATCACACCTGCAAAGGAAGTGGGACTGAGAGCAGCCCCCCCCCAGATTATCTTAATCTCAGAGATTTTGCATGGAATTCCCCCCCCCCACACCCATTAGCTTTATTAGCTTTAAGGTAAGTGTCGTTAAAGTTAATAAAGGCTACAATGATTATTTGACGGCTAAGTCAATGCATTTAGATTAAAGGGAAATGTAATAGCAATAATTTAATGAGAGTCACCAATTCCATCTTGATTTTCAATTACTGGTATGTGGAAAATGTTCAAATTGTCACCCCTGTTGGCTGTTCAAATCTGGGGAGTCGGCTGAGCTCCCACTGTTAGCCCTAGCTTCTGCCAACCTAGTAGTTTGAAAACATGGAAATGTGACTAGATCAATAGGCACAGCTTCTGTGGGAAGGTAACAGCGCTCCATGCAGTCATGCCAGTCACATGAACTTGGTGGTGTCTATGGACAACACCAGCTCTTCGGCTTAGAAATGGAGATGAGCATCAGAGTTGGACACGACTAGAATTCATGTCATGGGAAAACCTTTACCTTTAAAGCTTGTATCTTTTTTTTTTTGGAAAAAAATGTAAAAAGAAATACCAGAATATAAGCGTGTATATACATTTTTGGGGTACACCTTGTGTATGGGTGTGTATGAGCATGCACACACCCAATGAACCTGGACAAGCAATTCTGACCCATTGGTTACCATAATTAGCTACAAACATGGCTGATCCTAATCTTTAAACCTGTTGAAGGTGTATAGATTTGTTGGGGGGAAAATAGCAAAACAAAATCCATAATTATAAGTTGCTATGGATGCATAATTTATTTTGGGGTCATATAAGGATTACCATGACTTAGAAATGAGTTGAAAGTATACAATCTCTCTCTCTCTCTCTCTCTCTCTCTCTCTCTCTATATATATATATAGTTTTTCTCTGACTTTTGTCTGCAGAAACAGTTTTTTTTGTGGGCAGCTTAATACTGAATGTGAAAATGTACAAATACATCTTTTTTATATTTAGTCAAAACAGGTACAAGTTTCATTTTGAGATAGCAAAATTGCCAGGTAGTATCCTTGCTGGTGCATGAATAGGGAATACAATTCCTATATAATGGCATGATTCAGATAAAATTCATTGTAATATGCATATTCTCATTCTTCAGAGACTGTGCAGCACTGCAGTCTTGAATATGTTTGCTCTGCAAAGTGTCTTAACACATCTAATGGTCCAGAAAGTATGCCTTGGATTTCATTCTAATAGTAAATACTAAACACAATCTTGGCACAGCGAAAGACGAATATATTTTATGACCTTTCCTTTTTAGGAGCCTGAAGAAATAGCTTTTGTGCAAGAGTTACAGCAGTTTTTCACAAATGTTTGAGAATCTCAGAAATCTTTACATCCATGTTGCTGAGATGCTTGTATAAGTCTCATTTACATTTTACAGGAGAGCAACTGAGTCTAAAGAAATGGCAATTCCATTGTAAATTGAGGGTCACACCCAGTTCTTCTGTGTCAATGTTTACCACACTGCTCAAAATCCTCAAGCAAAAGCTCAACTGAAAAGTAAATAGGAAGAAGGAAATAGGAGCTAACACCTCCCAACAAAGGATTCCCCCAGGCAGGAATCAGCCAGTCTTTCAAACTGCAAGGCCATTCAATGCTAATCAAGGTGGCCAATTGCAACATTCACACTTGCCTCAAGTTGACAAGAGTTCTTTCTCCTACCCTGGACATTCCACAGATATATAAACTTCTCCTGCGTAGTTTCCAACAGACCTCACAACTTCTAAGAATGATGTCAAAGATGTGGGTGAAATGTCAGGAGAGAATGCTTCTGGAACATGGCTATACAGCCCGGAAAACTCACAGCAACCCAGGAGGAAGCTTAATTCTTGCAACAGGATATACTTCCTTCACTGGACTTAACATGCTGATGATTTATTCAAAGTTTGCCAAGTTTCCCCATTAGGGATAAATATGCAACATTCAGCATATTATATTCAGGGAAGCTATTTCAGCTCATACATCAGAATCACCCGCCCATCTCATAAAAACAAAATATATTCAATACCGAATGAAATTATCCAACATTTTGGTAGAGACTGTAAAGAAACAGTAGTGATACGACTTCCAATGTGGTCAGTTTCCTTAGAGAGTACATTTTTGGGGTACACCTTGTGTGTGGGTGTGTATATATACATACTGTGTGTATGAACACGTACACACCTAATGAACCTGGACATGCAATTCTGACCCATTGGTTATCATAATTAGCTACAAACATGGTTGATCCTAATCTTTAAACCTGTTACTGCTTTATCATACTATTTTATCTGTTGATTTTCCAAACCAAGCACACAAACTCCTATACAACTCATGCAATCTCAGGGGAGTGGAGTGAGCTTCCAGGGAGTGGAGTGAGCTTTTCCATCTGACAGGAAAAAATCTCAGGCCATATAAAATCCAAATTATCTGCTTTGAACTGGATTATCTGTCAGTGTAGATGAATATAATCCCGTTCAAATCAGATAATGTGGGTTATCTGCTTTGAAAATCTGGATTATAGGGCAGTGTAGAAAGGGCCTCAGGGTACATCTACACTGGAGAATTACTGCTTGACACGACTTTGCCATGGCTCAGTGCTATGGAATCATGGGAGTCGTAAATTTCAGATGGTTTTTAGCCTTCCCTGCCCAAGGGTGCTGATGCCTCTCCAAACTACAGATGTCTCTGCACTGCCATATAATCCAGATTCATTAAAATTGATAATCCACAGGATGTACTTCGAACTGGATTATATGAGTCTACACTGCCATATATTCCAGATTATCAAAATTGATAATGCATATGATGTGCTTTGAACTGGATTATATGAGTCTACACTGCGATATATTCCAGATCATCAAAACGGATAATCCACATGATGTGCTTTGAACTGGATTATATGAGTCCACATTGCCATATAATCCAGATAATCAAAATTGATAATCCACATTATGTGCTTTGAACTGAATTATATGAGCCTACACTGCCATATAATCCAGATCATCAAAATTGATAATCCACATTATGTGCTTTGATCTGAATTATATGAGTCTACACTGCCATATAATCCAGATCATCAAAATTGATAATCCACATTATGTGCTTTGAACTGAATTATATGAGTCTACACTGCCATATAATCCAGTTCAAAGCAAATAACCTGGATTTTAAATTGCAGTGTAGATCCAGTTTACAGCTCCCAGGATTCCATAGCATTGAGCCTTGACAGTTAAGGTGTCAAACTGCACTCACTGACCCTTAAACTACCCTTCTTTCTTATTTTTCTCACTTAAAGGGGGAAAAAAGATGGGGGTGGGCTTGGGATATTGAAAAGATCCGGAGGCTCCTTACCTTGACGACGTCGTCGTTGAGATGCTTGGGGTCCCTGTCGACCAAGTCGATCTCCTTGGTGTGGACGTCGTGGTACTCCTTCTCGTTCATCTCATCTGCCATGGCTTTGTTGTTGGGCTTGTAGATGTTGCCTTGCTCCCGGATGGGCGCGGTGTAGCTATAATCCTAGGAAAGAAAGAGTGAGGGGATCAAGCTCTCAATCCGGAGCCCTTGGAGGGAGCTGCTTCCTGGAGAGAGGCTGGCACCGGGGGTGGGCAAAGGCGCTGCTTGGAGACGGGGCTCAAAAAGCCCAAAGCAAGTTTCACTCCCGGGTGGTGGGGTGTCCAGAGCAGCTTGGCAAGAGAGCAGAGAGGAGCTTCATCCCGGGAAGGCCCCCACGGCTGTCTCTCTGGGATTAGAATGCATATATAAATGCCTCCTACACCCCACCCCTCGGTACCAAGCCGAGCCGCCGCCAGGGGTCCGACCTCTCCAAATGCGCAAAGGACTGGATGGGTGTCAGGGCTGCCCCGCCCCGCCCCTGCACCCCAAGCCTTGGCACTTTCGCCAGCCTCCAGCCCCTCCAAGTCTCCTCGGGGCTGGATCTTTCTTCCCTTCCAGGGATCTTTCCTCAAGGGAAGGATCCCTCGGTTTCTAAAACGCGCCTCGACGCAATCTGGCACTTTCTGCCCCGGCGCGCAACACACACACCCCTCTCCAACATTGCTTCCTGATCCTAAGGAACTGGCACTGCCTTTACTCCGAATTATAGCCCCTCGAATTGGCAGGAATTAGAATTAGAACTCACTGGGATTCTAACCCCAATGGGAAGCCGGCCAACAGTGACTTTTTTCCTCATCACACTTGAGAATGAATGCACTTTGAAGCCGGTTGCTGCCTCTTGCAGAATGCTGGGGTTTGTAGTTTAGTGAGGCTGTTAAAAGCTCCCCCCTAAACTACAAACCCTAAAATTCTGCAGCAACCAGATTTAAAGTGGATTCATTCTCTAGTGTGATGAGGTCTTTTAAGTATCTATTTAGCATTCCCTTCTCTTCACATCTCTTCCAACAACTCTCAAGCCAACTCCAAACCTCTCCCTTTTTGTTCTCAAGGGTTGCGAAGCCCCTTGGCCCTCCTTGATCCAAGTGGAAGCTCAGAGGAAGCGACAGGGCAAAGGGCTGAAGGAAAACAAACCCCCTAAAAGGTTCCCCAGGGCTTTAGAAGAGAGGGACATTTCAGGGGTTGAGATAAAAAGAGTCCTGCTTGACCACACCTTGCAGTTCCATTTGATGAGTTCAGAAAGCACAAACAAAACTTCTTCCACAACTCCTTGCAGACACTTTGGTGGACTGCCCGCATACACTACCCCACAACTAGGATCTTGGACATACAAGGCCCCTCTCAGCCAAGAGCCCAGTGTGCATCTACACTGTGGGATGAATGCAGTTGGCCAACACTTCAGCTGCCTTGACTCAATGCTATAGAATCAGGAGAGATGTAGCTTCACAAGGTCTTGAGCTGTGGTCCTCAACCTTTGGTTCTCCAGCTGTTTTGAACTTCAACTCCCAGAAATCCCAACCAGTTTACCAGCTGTTGGGAGTTGTGGGAGCTAAAGTCCAAACAACCTGGATTTATTTATCCTATCAGGTGAACCAAGGGTACTGTTGTAATTTATTTAAAAAACAAAGTTTAAAAAACTTGGTATTATATTAAATGTCCTTTGACTAGTAGCTGGTGTTGCTATAAGAAGGTCCTCCATTGTGCATGTGGCAGGGCTCAGTCTGCATTGTAATAGGTGGTCTGTGGTTTGCTCTTCTCCACATGCGCATGTCGTGGACTCCACTTGGTGGCCCCATTTCTTAAGGTTGGTTCTGCATCTCGTGGTGCCAAAGCACAACCTGTTCAGCGCCTTCCAAGTTGCCCAGTCTTCTGTGTGCCCAGGAGGGAGTCTCTCATCTGGCTTGAGCTTTGTGGTTTTAGCCTGCCACTTTTGGGCTCTCGCTTGCTGAGGGGTCCCTGTGAGTGTCTCTGTAGATCTTAGGAAGCTTGATTTAAGACATTGGCTTGCTGGCTAACATCTGAACAGAGGATCTTAGGAAACTATTTCTTGATTTAAGGTGTTGGTGTGCTCCAGAGGTAAACAGAAAACACCTGGAGAACTAAAGGTTGAGAAGCTCTGGTCTTGAGCCTTCTTTGCCCAAGAGTGCTGGCGCCTCACCAAACTACACATCCCAGGATCCCACAGCATGGGGCCAAGGGAGTTGAAGTGATATCCAACTGCAATAATTCCACAATGTAGATGCACCCTTAAAAGCTCTTGAAGAAAAGTATAAGACATCATCATCATCATAGGAGCCCCTGGTGGTGCAGTGGGTTAAACCCTTGTGCTGGCAGGACTGAAGACTGGGGAGGGCGTGGATGAGCTCCCTCTGCCAGCTCAAGCTCCCCATGTGGGGACATGAGATATGCCTCCCACAAGGATGGTAAAACATCCTGGGCAACATCTTTGAAGACACCAGAAGCGACTTGCAGTTTCTCAAGTCACTCTTGACATGGAAAAAATCATCATCATTGGCTTGTCCAAGTCCGTTAATTCTACAGTGGATGTACCTTACCCCTCAGCTTCACCCGCTGGATGCGAAGTGGAAATGGGGAGGGACACTTTTAGAAAAGGAACAATACCAACACTTATAAAGAGATGGAAAAGGAACTTGAAAAGATAAGGGGTTATTTGTGTGTGTCAGGAGCGAATTGAGAAACTGCAAGTCGCCTCTGGTGTGAGCTAATTGGCTGTCTGCAAGAACGTTGCCCGGGGGCGCTCGGATATTTTGATGTTTTACCATCCTTGTGGGAGGCTTCGCTCATGTCCCCACATGGGGAGTTGGAGCTGACAGAGGGAGCTCATCCACGCTCTCTCTGGATTCGAATGTAGACCTGTCAGGTCTTCAGTCCTGACAGGAAAAATGTTTAACCCACTGCGGAAGGCTTCTCTCATGTCCCCACATGGAGAGCTGGGGCTGCCAGAGGGAGCTCATCCACGCTGTTCCCAGATTCCAAGGTATGACCTGTCAGGTCTTCAGTCCTGCTGGGAAAAATGTTTAACCCACTGCAGGAGGCTTCTCTCATGTCCCCACATGGAGAGCTGGGGCTGCCAGAGGGAGCTCATCCACGCTGTTCCCGGATTCCAATGTATGACCTGTCAGGTCTTCAGTCCTGTTGGGAAAAATGTTTAACCTACTGCGGGAGACTTCTCTCATGTCCCTGCATGGGAAGCTGGAGCTGACAGAGGGAGCTCATCCGTGCTCCCCCCAATTTCGAAGGTATGACCTGTCAGGTCTTCAGTCCTGCCGGAAAAAATGTTTAACCCACTGCGGGAGGCTTCTCTCATGTCCCTACATGGGGAGCTGGAGCTGACAGAGGGAGCTCATCCACGCTGTCCCCGGATTCGAACCTACGACCTGTCAGTCCTGCCGGCACAAGGTTTAACCCATTGCAGGAGGCTTCTCTCATGTCTCAACATGGGGAGCCGGAGCTGACAGAGGGAGCTCATCAACTATCCCCGGATTCCAACGTATGACCTGCTGGGAAAAATGTTTAACCTACTGCGGGAGACTTCTCTCATGTCCCCGCATGGGAAGCTGGGCTGACAGAGGGAGCTCATCCACGCTGTCCCCGGATTCGAACCTACGACCTGTCAGTCCTGCCGGCACAAGGGTTTAACCCATTGCAGGAGGCTTCTCTCATGTCTCAACATAGGGAGCCGGAGCTGACAGAGGGAGCTCATCCGCGCTCTCCCCGGATTCGAACCTAGGACCTGTCGGTCTTCAGTCCTGCCGGCACAAGGGTTTAACCCATTGCGCCACGGGGGGGGGGGGGGGGGGTCAACCGGAGGCACAATCCCACAGAGATGGAACATCCTAATAGGAGAACCCTCACTCAATTGGGACAGATTGGCGCCAAAAGCTTTAAGGGCAGCCCCGCCAGTGAGTGATATTGGCAAAGAAGCCCACAGGCACCCCATCTCCCTCTTCCCTTCCCTCCAGCACTTACTGCAAAGGAGTCCCTCTTCCTCTCTCCTTTAGAAATCCTCCTCCACTGCAGTTTAGTTGGGGAAAGAAGCCCGGACAGGGAGAGCCAAGCGGGTAAGTGGGGAGGGAGTGGATATCGGACTGGAAAGGGGGGGGGGGGGGGAGTGAAAACAAGTGCCCCGCCAGCAGATCGGATTACCAAGCCAGGCAAATAATACTTTACATACAAAAAAACACCCCAAACACCTCTCTTACGTCTTGTTCCAGCTTTGGAGGAGAGCGAGCGAGAGGGGGAGTGTGTGTACGCGCGAGAGAGAAAGAGATAAGGGAAGAGCCAAGAGTCCTCAGCGAGGGCTCGAGCAGGTCCTTGAGGTGCCAGGAACCGAAAGCAAACCATCCACTTTGCAGCAGCAGCAACAACCACCACCAAAAAAAGAGAGAGAAGGCGAAGTCCTTCCTACCTCGGAGTCCACGTATTTGCTCCCAGACATGCTGTCCCCGACTGGCGCGAGTTATAATTCCCAGCGCCCAAAGAAGGAAGATCGTGTATTGTGTTCAACCCCCCCTTCTTTCCCTTCCCACCCGCGAGTGGGAGGTATCTCTCCAAGTTATGCGCCTGGACACCCGCCAAGGGCTTGTTCTGGGCTTGGAGGAGGAAGGGGAGGAGGAGGAAAGGGTTTGGGGGGCATCTCATGGAGATCTTGCCTCCTCTCCTCCTTTTATTCCCCTCCCCCTCTCTCTTTTTCCTTTTGGGAAACTTGAGGCCAGCCTTGCTTGGAAAATAAGTACACGCGCGTGGCTTTGCGGGGGACAACATGCCGGGGGAAGCCGTTGCTGGGGCTTTGGCGAGGTTTTCCAGTTTGCAAGGCTGGCTGTGTGTGTTTTGGGCCGTTCACAGAAGGAACCTCCCGCCCTCTCCTCTGCACTTCCAACTGTGCTGACCAAAAAATCAAAAGCACCTCAGATGACCCAGCTTTGGATGTTGGCAGAGCCCACCTATGCAGGAGAGTGAGGCAACCGCTTCAGGTAGATGAGAAGCTCCAGGGAGGAAGCTGACTTGTGGTCCTATTTATTTACTTATTTATTTACTAGCCATCCCCTGCCACTCGTTGCTGTGGCCGAACTGGAAAATAAAGTAATGGTTTCTAATATATGTAGTTTCTTTATGCTTATGGGTAACCAGTCTTTCTTGTTTTTTTTATCAGTGTTGATGTGCTTACTTAACTTACTTAGGCGATTCCTTCCTCTGAGTAGGATAGTCTTCCAAGATCAGTGTCCTGGCGGTGGATCCCTAGATGACTGTGGAGCCCTATTCTTGATCTGCATCTTCTCCCACAGTGAGGGCATTGGTTTCCAGGTGGAAGGTGGTCCCGGTCGGGGTTGGCTTGACGCACCTTCCTCTTGGCATGCTTTGCTTTCTCTCTCCATTCCTGACTCTTCAAATTCTACAGCACTGTTGGTCACAGCTGACCTCCAGCCCGTCTTTAAATCTCTTTTCCTGTCCACCAACATTCCGTTTTCTGTTCTTCGGTTCGGAGTAGAGCAACTGCTTTGGGAGAGGCAGTCGGGCATCTGAACAATGTGGCCCATCCAGCGAAGTTGATGGCGGAGGATGGCGGAGGACCATCACTTCAATGCTGGTGGTCTTTGCTTCTTCCAGCATGCTGACATTTGTCCACTTGTCTTCCCAAGAGATTTGCAGGATTTTCTAGAGGCAGCACTGATGGAATATTTGCATGTGACGTCTGTAGACAGTCCATGTCTCACAGGCGTATAGCAGGGTTGGGGGGACAAAAGCTTTATAAAAAAGCACCTTGGTATCCATACGGATGTCCCGGTCCACAAACACTGCTTCATTCGGAACAATGCTGCACTTGCAGAGCTCAGGCGATATTGTGTTTCGGTGTCAATGCTGACTTCGGTGGAGAGGTGGCTGCCAAGGTAGCAGAAATGGTCAACATTTTCTAATATTACACCATTAAGCTGTATTTCTGGCATCGGAGAGGGGTTGGCTTGTGACTGCTGGAAGAGGATTGTCTGCTTTGCCTACTCTGGAACATGCAACATATCATTGTCCTTCTTTAGGGGTCCCTTTCAAATCTATGATACTATATACGAGGGTTGACACCTTCGTTACTTGGGTTTGGATGCAAATATTTTAATAAATCAAATGCAGAAATAATCCTTGGAATGTGTTCTCTACCACTATTCACTTTTCCACATAATCACCAGACAATTGGATACATGTCTGCCAATGATGAACAAGTTTTCTGAAGTCGTCACAGAAGAAGTCGACACTCTGTTTCCGCAACCAGCATTAGCATCCTGGGTTCCCATTGTGCACAGATCTTCCGATGGCCAAGCAAAGCAATAATGTGACCCACACATTCTTGTGAAATGCTGATTATGCTTGAAATTTCTCTGAGTGATACAACGATCATCCTGAATCAATCTGGCAATCTTTTGCTTGTGAAACTCGGTGGTTGCTGTCACAGGACGTCCAACACTTTGTCATGCAAGTCAGATGTTCCCTCCTCAACATCTTTAAACTTATTCGCCTAACGATACACAGTACTCACATCAACATAATCACCATAAACATCTTGCATTCTCTGATGAATCTACTTTGGACTGAAGACCGACAGGTTGCAGGTTCGAATCCGGGGAGAGCGTGGATGAACTCCCTCTGTCAGCTCTAGCTCTCCATGCGGGGACATGAGGGAAGCCTCCCTTCTTCCAAGAGAAGAGCTTGCAGCCCACAGCAGTCCTAAGCCCCATCTAAACAGCCATATAAAATCCAGATTATCTGCTTCGGCCTGAATTATATCAGTCTACACTGCCATATAATCCAGTCCAAAGCAGATAATCTGGATTTTATATGGCAGGGTAGAAGGGAGCTTAGCCAACATAGCCAGTGGTGAGGAATTCTGGGAGTTATATTCCAGATGGTGTCTGGAAGGTCACATGATTTCCATCCCACAACAAACATAAAGCCTGGGACCTTTGACCACGGTCAGTGTTGAAGTCAGTTCCAATTGTCACTTTGCTTCTATATGTGATAATAAGGAAAGGGATACACCATGATATACTTTGACTCAGGTGTCAAAATGTCTGGGATGGCTCCTGTGATGATAGGCAATTACAAGGATTTATGGTGCTTCCAGCTCAAGGCCAAGGCAAACGTTATACATGATAAAATTTGCATTTCATGTCAACCAAAGTAAAAGCTTCAATTTTTTCCCATGTGGTTATTTCTGTCCCTAAAGCAGTAGATCTATGGAGTCAAACTAGAAAGAGACTTTGGTCCCTGCTGGTTCATTTCAAAAACATTGCAGATTTTCTCCAGCTCTGAATCCTCATCCAAATCCTTACCATCAAATGGATTTCAGAATGATTGCTTGTGCCAGCCCATTTTATTACATGTTTGCCTTTTGTATTGTTCTTTAAGCCTGGGGAAAGGCCAGGATTGGTGTAAACTTGCAGAAATCTCTCCTTAAAAAGTCTTTCTACCTCACAATTCAACAGTAAGATCTGTCCCTTCATGTTTATTTAAGTGCTGCTGGTGGGGATAAACCCTGGCATGGAAAGGCAAAGCTGAAGATGATTATTGCTCATAGTGGAAGCATGGAATTCAGGGCGTGGTTCCTGGTTCTGCCTAAAAGGGAGAAAGAGAGTGAAAAAAGTAGCCTGGAGTTTTAAAAAAGCCCTAATATTATTTTGAATTTCTAATATGCTTAAGAGTTTTCCAAGAAATTACGTTTCAGACTTTATAGAGACCACTTGCCACCCTGTATCCTATTTTGATATTTGACATTTGCTGATGACTGATTAGTGTCAAGATCTTGAATAGACTACTGCAACACGTTCTACATGGGGTTGACTTTGGAGACTGTCCAATGGGTAGCAGTCAGATTGCTCACCAGTGAGGTGCAGGGAGCATACAATCCCTCCCCCCGCCCCACTCCACTGGCTGCCAATTTGCTACCGAGCACAATTCAAACTTCTGGTTTTAGTCTATAAAGCCCTAAATGGTTCTGACAGCTAACCTGTCCAAATGTATCTCCCTCTATGAACCAGCCCGGATGCTAAGGTTTTCTGGGGAGGCCCTGCTCTTAGTCCCACGTTCTTCACAGAGGCAGCTTGTGGAGACAAGAGACAGGGCCTTCTCAGTGGTGGCTCCTCGACTGTGGAACTCCCTTCCTAGTGAAATCAGATCGGCTCCCTTCCTCCTGTCCTTTAGATAAAAAGTTAAAACCTGGCTATGGGACCAAGCGTTTGGAGAGTAGTACAGGGCAACATGCAGCTATGAAGTGAATGGACTATAATGTAATTTGGAATGGTTTCTGGATTATGATTTCGGGTCTACGTGCAATGTTTAACAGTCAATGTAATGTATTTATATGCCATTGTTTTTATGAATTTAAATGTTTTTAATGCATAATGTATTCTGTATTTGTATGTTTTTATGTTTAATGTGGCATTGAATATTACTAATTTGGAAGCTGCTTTGAGTCCCCTTCGGGGTTGAGATAGAACAGGGTAAAAATGCAGTAAAATAAGATCAAATGTAATAGCTGGATACAGATGTTCATTATCAATATATCTGTTAGAGATAAGAAGAAAAAACTTTTTTGGCCTACCTCTCCCAAAACCTTCCTGTCAGCATAGACATAGGCTGGATCTACACTGCCATATAATCCAGATTATCTAAACAGATAATCCACATTATCTGCTTTGAACTGCATTATATGAGTCTACACTGTCATATATTTCAATTCATTGCAGAAAATCTGGATTTTATATGGCAATGTAGATAGAGCCATACCAATTCCACTAAAGAGAAAGAGGTTTTCTGGTCATATATCGCAGTGAAAAATGCACTTTTATGTAACAAAAATATGTATTATTTACTTTGGAAACCTATTGGATGGCTTTGGGTGAGTCATCATAAGTCAAAAAGGCAAGGCAACCCCCCTCTGAATAAATCTGACTAACCATGTTAAGTTTGCCCTGGGGTCATCATAAGTCAGAAGCAACTTGAAGGCACAGACAAATAAATAGGCTTTTCTATTTCTGTGCTTCAAAATCTCTCCCATGGATAGCCTTTATAACACAAAGATCTAAATATGGAATTATGAAATTTAAAAATGTACAATCTGACCTTTTTTGGGACTCCACATTCTTCCTGTTAAAATGCATTCAGAACCAAACAACTAGAAAACAGCAAAGAGAAAAAAAGGAGACTAATGTGGAAAGATTTATGTTTTGGGAAAAAATGCACAAAGCTTGGTCTTCACACCAGGACCAGCTCTACAATTAGACAGAGGGCACGTCTACACTGTAGAATGGATACAGTTAACTGTCCCAGATCAATGCTGTGGGGTCCTAGAAGCTGTAGTTTGATAAGGCTAAAGAGATTGTCAAACTACAACACCCAGAATTCCATACCATCGAGTCATGGCAGTCAGTGCATTACTTCTACAGTCTAGGTCGGTGGTTCTCAATCTTTTTTTGATGAGGGACCACTTTGACCAGGGGCCATTCTCCGACATTAGTACCAACAGGGTTACGAATCCGATTTTGGTCAACTTTAGATTTGGCTTGGTTATTTAGGGTGC